TGTTTCTATGTTTAAAATTAACGAACACTGTGTTCTTTATATTATATTTCCTCAAAATAGCTCAATTCAATTACTTTAATTAATTAATGCAGTCAGGAATCACGAAATTAAATGCACTTTGTTAAGTACGTATACCTCAAAAATGAAATATTTAAATTATATGAAGTTCATTCTCTCTACCACATTAATTGTGATTAAAATAAGAATAATAACATAGAGCAATATATATATATCTACCGTCTGGACAACTAAAATGAATATTAAAGATATAGCATTAAAAAAATTTCTTAAAATTTTAACAATTTCAAAATTCAAGAAATAAAATTAAACAATTTTATATGAACATAAATACATAAAACTTATCTTATATTGCAAAAAATCATTACGCAAGTAGATTTTCTTACTGTTTTTGTTTTTTAAAACACGCTCAAACAAATTTTAATGCATGAATAAATTATAATATATTTTCTAAAGCGCTTATAATCACTATTAATAATATTGATTTTTTGTTTTATTAATTTTTTAAAAAAAGCAAAGTTTGAAATTTTAACATAAAACATTTTATTTTAAACAACTCAGCGGCTTATGTGATTTCTTCTCTTATTTTATCCATTTGTTCACGTATATAAATTGAATTTTAAATTAATTTATTTGCATTTTAATTAATTAAAGAGTTTAATGTTTGTCACAGCACTATTTCAATAATGCTACAGTCAGAGACTTGATCACTTTCATTACACCATCTCTTTCTGTTCATGTCTAATCACAGATAATTTCCATCTTTGAATAAGCATAGCAAAGTTGACTGATAATACACATAAAATTATTTGCTGAGCTCAGTATAAATATATTATTTGCCAGTTTAAAGTGAAAAAAATTTTTTCCAACTTTAATTTTTAATTAAATAAATCAGTATATAAACATAAAGTGTTTTTTGATAGGAGACTTATTTAATTACTCTTTTTCATTTACACTGATTTTTAGTAAGTTACTGAAAAAATTAAGAAGTAAAAAAAATAAACACTGAGGGGGTTAAAAAGGGTGTCAAAATTTTTAAAAACCTTTATATAGCATTTATTATCGTCACATCATTTCAAAATTTCTCTTCAGTGTAGTAAGGGTATTAAGGTACGTTTTCAGCCAAAAATTGAAAAATCGGTAATTTCTTTGATTTTGAGGTATCTTAATGAAAATTCATGAATGAAAATTATGTGTTTAATTTCATACCGTACGGAATGAGTAGTACACGTTCGATATACAGTGCCGGCACCAAAGCCAGTGCAGCTTCATTGGATGGCAGTATTTAGAGGTAGCAAAATTTTTCTAATTGCAGAAGCCACTGGCCAACAGAATTTAGAAAACGCAGAGCTTGCATTAAGGGGCAAAAGCATCTCATGCCAGTATTTTGAGCTTTAGAAAGTTAGTGTTAGAATGGCAGATATTTTCTAGTAAATTTAACTTGCTTATTCAAATGACTAAATAATTTTTGTTCCACTAAAACAAGATCTATTTTCAAGGAATCCTGTAGGGAAGTCAGGGTGGCAGTGAGATGCAAAGCTATTAAAGAACAGAGAAGTTCATATTCTTGAACTCGTTTTGTCGTTTTTAAACATGTATGTCGGAGGTTTTACATTTAATTCTTATTTGAAGACCCTGAGGTTCATCTGGAGATCCATTCCTGATGCTTATCTTTCATACGAAGAGATGAGACATGTACCTCTCGTATTTCAAGGCACGTGTGACAAAAGTGTGGAAGACGTTATCGAGGAGTTTCAAAAGCGTGACTTCGAAAACTTTACTGCCATCCCTCAACCCAGGAGTCTGATGCATTATTCCCGATGCACAATCAGACACGCACTGAATTACAATTTACAACTGCCACAAGGGATTGAACATTTAGGTCTGCCTAGACGACTGCAATCCTACCTGAAACTCGAATTTTAGTTTTCATATTAATGAGCATGTCCTTTCTTGGGATCATATAAATTGTCTTCCAGTAATTATTGCGTTTCTGTACATGTAAAGTAAAACATTTTAATGCAAGAAATAAAACTTTCTGAGAAAGGATCTATAAACAGTACTCATTTTAGTCTATGCAAGTTTTGAACACATTTCAAAATGCTGTTTTTTGCTTCCTTTCCTAAACCAATTTTTGAGCTAAAATTATTTCAAATATTACACATGTATTTTTTCTGGAGAATTTTTCGGAATCAAAATGAACGATTTACAAAAATCAGTAAGAATTATAGCAAATATAGTATTCAAATTTAAATGTTTTTATTTTATTTTCCTCTAAACGGGAAATATATCCTGGCTCATCGGAAAGTTTTTTAGAAAAATGTATTGTTTGTTTTTTCAAGTTAGATTGGAATGAATTTATACTATCAGTTTCAATTCCCCAATCCTAGAACGAACTATGAGCAATTTTGTCCGTCTAATGTTTTGTAAATAGTTACGACGTTATCAGTATCAAATTTTACGTTTGAATATAGCTACATCATTTGTAGGAACGAGAGGGCTTGCATTAGAACATCGAATAGCATCTGACGTAAGACTCGGAAAATAGCACGCTAACTAAACAAAAAATTTTACTAAAACTTATTCTGTTACTGAACATGGGATATAAAAGTAAAATTTGATTTTCTTCAAACTATTCGAGTCTGCATGCACTCACATCCATTTTGCATCATTGTGCCATGTAATAATAATAAAATCTAATTATTTTGCATAAAAAGTACTAAAATAATCGTCTGTTTTATTATTTTTTTCCCACGTGTTCATTTCCAGAGTTAGGATACTGTTACGAAGGGCCCTGGTGCGGTAAGATAGCTTTCCCGCAATTCGCGGTTAGGGTTGGCAGGAAAGGCAAAGTTACTGGATTTGGTGCAAAATCGCTCATTTGGCAATATTTGACGACTAAATTGCAATATGCCATAGAAGAAATAAGAACATTCTAGAAACAATCTTAGCGGTTTTTCTCGAGTATGCGCCTTAAGGTAGGTTAAAGTTATATGCACCTAGCCTGTGTGCGGAATAGAAGAGTATCTAGAGTTCAGTAAGAGCTTAGCTTGAGAGCGATTTATCAAGTCAGAAGCTGTATTTTAATGCTTTGCCGTGAAGCTGTCTTCACCGTTATAGCATGAAGCTGTGTTGCTGATTGTTTTAGCGTAATCAACGTGGTTTTTCGAAGTTTCTAAACGTGTCTTTGGAACTGTCTTGCGTAATAATGAAGACTAATTTGTGTTTTGACTTCTTATTTATCACTATTTACTCTAAATTCACGAAACCGTACAACGTAACACTACAATATTTAAAAAAGGAGGCCTGATAAATTAAATCGCTAAATGAGAAAATCTCGTGTTAAATAAAAAAAACCGCAGGAGTGTTTAGAAACTTGATTTAGAAGACAAAATATGTTCATTTCAGTACCAAAGTTGGAATACCAATCATCATGGAGCAGAAGCAAACAAATCCGTATCGACCCTTTGGCGAGCAGCTGATTGAACTTATGGAACATTGTGTAAAACCCAGATGATTGAAGTCGTCTTTCATGCGTTGTTCTGTGTTTACAATATTTCAGTTTGTTTGTAAATGCAATTCACAATTTGTACAGTCAAATGCAATTTACTTTTAGCTTTGGCTCAGAATTTCATCAAATATCACCGATCGACATGCTGAGTGTGACTAACTTATTGAAGGGAGCTGATGCATTGATGAATGTCACCGATGTCATTGTATATGATGCATTGATGAACGTCACCGATTGATATTCTGAGTAACTTATTGGAGAGCGATGTTGCTTATCTTATCTCCATCCCGGAATGATATTTTAATTGACAAACAAGATTTCGTTACATGATTCATGTTGTACTGATAAAAAAATTGCAATCTTTCACTGCCATCTGTGATGTAAATCATCTGACCACATTCTTTCTTGAGAAGCAAAACATTTTTTAACATTCTTTTAAAAACTGGAATGAGAGACAAGGGAGTAAATGCAGAATAATAAAAGTTAAAAAAATTCAAGATAAGATCGACTACGTAAGTAGCAATGTGCATAAAAAACTGACAGGTCATGATTTCAGACCTGATAATTTGAACCAATGTATTTACAGCTAACGCACAGTTTTTTTACTTTTTTTTTGAATTCTATTGAAACAATATTATTGAAAACTTGTTTTTTGATTATAATTTAGAAATACCCTTTTAAAGCTTTCTTGATGTAAATATTTTCATTTTAATATTATGTACTAATAAATTTGAGCATACCGTACTTATTTATGGAATGAGTTAGGCAAGATATGCAAGCCAAGGAATCTTTTTGGCATTACTAAAGGGTACTGTGTGAAAATTTAGTAGGTAGCTTACTCTGTTTACGTTGTTCTTCCATTTTTCTGCACAAGTATGAGACTAGAACCACATTATTGCATTAAATATTTTATGGTATTTTGTTAAAAGATATATAATCAAATATTTTTGTGCATATTAATTTTCATCATTATTAGTTTAATGAAGAAAATTTCAAATGGTTTTTGTTTTCACAAATTTCTTTTGAAATAGAGTTGTGAATAATTAGTAGGGATTATGTAATATTAAACATGCTAATCTCGGGAGTATAAGATAGAAATATGAATACATTATTTGAAAACAATTACGTGAAATGAAACCGCATATAGTGGTTATTTCCTTAGACAGCGATACATTTGTCGGGAACACAAAGGAAAAATAGTACTTAAAATTACCGATAGTCATGTGAGACTACAAGAAACTGGCTTGTATCTGCAATTGTACAGTTAACTGTTTTAGGAAAGTTTCACTGTATAATCAGTTGATTTAGATGTAATTTTTACGTGGGTATGAATTTTGCAAAAGTAATTGAAAAGCTGTAAAATATGTGATACTTGATATTTTGGGAAAACCATGACTAAAATATTTTGCTAAATGTAATGCAGAATATCGATACATTGAGTAAGGATTCTGTAATAAATAAATGGTAGCACTGAAATACTACACAGGCTTTATTTGCATATTTATAAATTTTAAATCTTTAATGGCTTACAATCACGTTTTATTTCATGCAAAGAGTAACATATTACAGTTTCGCATCGCAGTAGCTTAAACAAAACATCACATGCAATGAATTTAAATAGATGCGTTTTTAACACACATATTATAAGATGTTTTAAAAATTCTTTCAGAATACAAATATTATTTCAAACATATAATAATACTGCAATGTTAATAACGCGTAACAGCATTAAAAGTAAAACTTCATTAAATATTACAGTAATTATGTACAGTAGACCCTCCTTCGTTTAGGAATTCCCACTTGAAATATCACAGATAAAAAATGTTCTCTCGGAAACCATTCTGCTATTGGTCTTTAAGAAGAAATTTGGCATTCTACAGAACCAGCTACGCAAGAACTGAAAAAGAAGAAAATTTTTTTAAAACATTCTTTTTTTACTACACTAAAGTTACAAGCGGCTAAAATTTAGTTTAGTAACTAAAGTTACTAAAGTAAAATTACAAACTTGAAACTTTAGTAACTTTAATTTACTTTAGCCGCTTTAACTAAGAAGTGTTTATTAAACGAAAAAAACCTTGTCTTCATATAAAATCAAGGAAAATCTTATGTTAGTTCAATGAAATTTTTTTACCAGTTGACGACGTAAGGCCGAGCTATGAACTCTTGCATATGCTTGTATTGAGATTCACTCAAAATGCAACCGCCGGGCAGGTACACTAAAAAGGAAGCAGTAATTAGAAATTATTTAAGTTTTAACATGTAAATTAATGCCAAAATAAATCAGGTGACGGAGGACGGGGACGCCTGGTGTTTAACAGGAGTAAGCAGGCATATGCCCCACGCCTTCCACTATCCAGATGCAACAACTCCCTGGAGCCGCACAAGGCCGCACCGGGAGCTTATTGATATTCCATTCAGATTAAACATGGCCATACAAGGGCGACATTGTGCTACATTGAAATTTGATGTACATTTGTGGGTGGGGCAGTCTTGTTTGTACATTAAACACAGCATGAACACACATGAAATGTGCACATAAAAAATAAATAAATAAATAAATAAATAAAAAAGAATACATGAACACTCAAATCAGCAATGTGAAATCGCTGCTTCATAATACTCAGTTATTATACAGATATACAACCAACTATTGTATTGCAATCAACTACGTAATGAGCCACCCTCAGCCGAGCGGTAAAATAGTTGTACGCTGGTAGTTCCGATCTGAGTTCGATTCCAGGAATTAGTTCTGTTTCCGCGATTCTTCTTTCCGCGTTTTTCAAAATTCTTCCTGTTCCCTCGAAATCGGAGAGTACAATACCCCTCCCACAGCTCCTTAGGAGATGTCATGATGAGTCATTAAAAAGAGCAGGGCAGTTTCTTTGTGAATAAGTTAGTCTTCGTCAGGACTTAGAAGAGATATTTATCCCTGGTCTTCGTTAGATTAAAGACGTGTTTTAGTTTAGGCTCATCTTGAAATCTTAAGTTTCATTCCATTTGTAATTCTGCTACAATATTAGCTGTTATTTTCACATCTTATATTAATCATTATTGGATTTAAAAGGAAAAAACTTTTAGCCCTTTATAAAGGCTATCGAATTCAGAATAACAATAAGGAAAATGCAGTTTATTGGATTTGCATAAATGAAAGAATTAAAAGCTGCAAAAGCGCAATTAAGACCAAAGAAGTCGTTGTTTTAGAACGAATATTTATTCTGAAAGATTTTATTATAACTCACCATTATGCAGAATTTTGTAAGAATATTGTTTTTTACTTTTAGTTCATTGTCAAAATCATCGCAGAGTTTGAACATCTCTCTCTCTCATCTTCATTCATGCAAAGATCTGAGATAGTAAATATTTTTGGATTATTTCTTTTAAAAATTCTTCTTTTTAAATTAAAAATTTTTTACATTCCTACTTTTCGGGAGAGGCCAAGGTCCACTCGTCCCCCCACTATGTAACCGCTTTGAGAAAGGGGTAATGAAGATTGATGATTTCGCAGAAACAGGAATGATTTTGACAACCGCGGAAAAAGGAAGACATCCGATTCCAAGCGAACGGATTAGCTGCACGAGCATTCTCACAGTTTTCCTCATGTGTAACTTTGCATACCAGAAAGCTTCCCTTAGAAATTCATCCACGAAGGTATACACCTCCTTTGGGATAGATAGTCCTGTGTCTTTGCCTAAATCAACTAAACCAAAGCAAATTATTCCAATGTGTAATACAATCCTACTAATGCCCTTGTAAGGCCATGTACTTCCCTTTGACAACCTCAATAACCTCCTAGTGCAGCCTCGTTGTGCTCCAGGGAGCTTTTGCAGTAGTTAGAGGAGGGCGTGGAAAACATGTCTGTTTACCTCTGTTAGACATCAGGCGTTCCAGTCCTCCGTAACCTACCTACCTACCTTTCTAGCCTCGTTCTCTTTCACTTGTGCAATTATTTCATCAGATAAAAGTTCAGTTTTTTTGCCCTGCCCTATTCATTCTACAACATCATCGTCAGAAGCATTCCCAGTCTGGAATTTTCACTGAGTCCACCGTCTCACCATTGATCTCCTTTAATCTCCTTTTTTTAAAAAACTTGTTTGAACGTCTAGCAACTTTCTCTAGTGCCATCCATGGTTTTCATAAAATTCCTCACAGAATTCGAAGGTTTTTCAGTTGCAAAAAAAGGTCCTGAAATGGGTTTTAGATTTACTTTTCGCCAAACCTTAAATAAAGCCTTTTACTCATTTTCTCGTATACGTCCCCTTTGATACTTTTCCTTTCCTTTAAACTACATACGTGGTCTTTTCCCAAGGCACATTAAGACATTTCAAGACTCCATTAAGGACCTTTTCTGAATGGTTCTTAATGGAGTCTATTTATTTGCTATTATAGTAGATCATCCAACAAGTTTATAAATACTTTTCCCATTGTGCAGTACCTTTAGGGCATATAGTTTATAGGGTTCCTAACTCTTGGTCCCAGACGAAATGTCGAGGAACCTAGTGAACTGTGCAGCAGCTTATAGCTGAGTTCAAATAACTAAAGTCGTAGATTCGAGAAGGGTTAAAAGACCCTTTATTTCACTCAAAATAAGAATAACAGTCGGCCCCTTCTCGGGCTTACAGGAAGCCTCTACTCGGACTTTGCTCAGAATAAGAAATAAGAAACTAAACTATAATTAACTAAAACGAGACTTAGCTGAAGCTGAACACAATTATTTAACGTAGATTTAATTTAGACTAGCCGACGAATATCAAAAGGCACGTAAATACGGCCGAGCATAACAGTTTCGAGAATAACTTAGTCCGAAGGCAAACACGCGCTACTAACGATTTCTAGCACTCTCTATTGAAATAAGTTGAACCTTCCCTAAATACTTCTTCTAACTCATTTGCATTCAACGAGATTTAAAACCTCACTCTGGTAAGGAGTTGTAAGTGGAAATAAGAATTGATAGGAAAGGGCTTTGAAATTAAAATAACTGTATAAGGTATTTCTACCGCCTTCTTAGCGTGTCTTCGCGACGCAGTGGTCTGCATGCTGGGCGCGTATTCCAGAGGTCCGTGGTTCGATTCCCGGCGAAGGCGTTGCTCATTGTTCATCACTCCTGTTACAAAAACAAAATACCTAATAGTCTCTACAACTGTTATAAAATAAAATTAAAATATACCTTACAAGTTTCATTTCCATGTTTATTTATTTCCCTTCCTCGTTCAAACATTTCACTACACAGACAACACAATACTTGATATGTAAGTCGATATGTAAACTGAAAACTTTACTTGGAAGACACTCAAAGTTTAGCTTACTGTAGACTACAGTTATAAATCTTCAGGTCCTTATTGATGACTACCAACAGGAAAAAAAAAAAAAAAGCGAATCGTAACTGATAGCAACAAATTGACTTTTTGAAGCATTTCAGTACTGGAAGGGATTATGGTAGATCGTATTTTCTGTGAAAGGAACAAAACCCGTTATCAAATTCATTTGACAAAAGAACACAAAGGGAAAGGGACAAAAATTGAAAAATTAAATTACTGTACGAAATCTTTGAACAAAACAGGAAAACATGACTACACGCAAATAAATATACTGTTATTACAGCGATAATTAAAATGTACAAACACCGTTTGAACGCTATATGCTAATATTAGAAATTATTTCAGGATAGCCATAAAAAACGATAACCACATTATTTAAAAAATAATGCTCTGCTTGACCAGCAGAAATTCGTTAGCAATTTTTTTTTTTTTAAAGTGATCTTAGATTTATGCGGGAATGTCGAGATATCTGCAGTCGAGTTTTTGGGACTTAACTGTGATTATTTTTCAAGGAAAGCTGTAAGCAAGGAGGTTAGAAAAGATGGAGTAAGCCTTCCCCGTATGTTCCCATGCAATGAAAATGAAGCCATGACACGTCACGATGTGTGACGTCACGACTGATATGGGAGAGTCGTTAGCCATGTTGTTGCGACGCTTTAGGGTTGCAATTTCGGTTGGGGGCCAATCTTTGGCTCTTTAGCGGTATTAGTTAAAACTTTAATTATTTAACATTTTAGGACCTTTTAGAGAATCTTAAGTTCCGATTTTTCGCACTCATATAAAGATGTGTGACTTCTCTCTCGTAGTTTTTTAAAATGACGAATTTCTCATATGATTCATGATACGTTTTTAAAACATTTTCACATATATTTCAAATCCATATATAAGTTACAAAAACTTTCTTGTCAACTTACTTCTGAATTTTCAGTTTATACTTTTACATACATGCATACAATACATGCATAATGTTAGACAACTCAAAATGTACTTTTTGACAAGAGATTTCCCGCAGCTGTATTCTTAATTTCCATGAGGTTATAATGGGTTTGAAATCACGTTTTCATATTTATGTAACTACTTTTCTTTTATAATTCAAGGTAGTTTCATGTATTATATAAAAATTATAAGCCTTTCAATACAGTACTTGTATGATAATTCTTAACTATGCCATTTCAGTACTGATGGAGTTAAGCATATTACTTTTATTTACATTACACGTTAAATTATTTAGAGAACATTAAAGCTGTGGCTACAAATTTGTATGAAGAAAACTTCAGTAATTTTTAAGTTTCTAAAGCTTTCCTGAATCAAAAGTTACTTTTTTAAAATTGTAAGCAAATTTTATATATTATATTATATATTTATATTGACGTAGTTTAGCATTTTTTAAGCGTTATCGACTTTCAAAAGTTTAGAAAGGAAAATGGGTTCCATTTCTTGTATATATTAAAAGAAGGAACACATTTCCTTTTATTAAAGTATATATAAAAAATCTGATGTGTACACCACATGACTTCCTCGTACGGAATATTAAATTATACGCAATTTTTCTTGCATTTCATTTAAACTCTGGCGCTAGATTCACTTAACAGTATTATATTTGTTCATATTATAACTGATAATGCACAATATCATTTAAAGAATAGAATTATCTAATCGTTGCCACAAGTTCTATTCAAATACTATAATAAAGCTAGAATGATGTATAAAAGAAATTAAGCAAACAAAACAAAAAAGAAACAGTTTTTCACAGACAATTGAGTATTTTTCATTCAATTAATTCAGTTCTCACTTCGCGTGAAGGCAAAAATATATAAAAACTCAAAATATCTATATTAAAAATCACGAAGTAAATCTTAAACACTTATTTCCTCGAAAAAATTACAGAAAGGATTAAGCAAGATTTAATTGGCAATAATAAATGAAGACGATATCTTAGCTAAGTTTCTATGGATTGGCAACA